TGGTTCTCCACCCCTTCTGCTGCGGTTTGCTCCGCCCTTCCTCAGGCTCCATCTCCGCCCTCGGTCGTTCCAGCTCGCCCTCAGACCTCCGGATCCCCACCTCGCTCTCAGGAGGTCGTCGCTGCGGCTCCATCGCGGTCACCTGGGTCTTCATCATCTCTTCACTACCTTGGCTCATCGACTACGCGGTGGGCTTCAGCCTCGTCTTTGTCGCCTCCGGTCATCTCCATGGCGGCCTTCACTGCTTCTCCATGGCTCCTCCCTCCGTCGACGCCGCCGTGGGGTACTTTTTTGGCTGTTGCCTCACTGTAAACCCTAATGCTCAAAATAATTAATTGGTTTGAGTAGGACAAACTTAAATTAAACAAATTAGTTCAGTCAAATTAACTTTTATGAGTATTTAGCACTTTCTTTTTCTTTCAAGTTCACTGAACTGATATATTTTAAGTAAACTGAACTGTTTCATTGTTTTGAGTTTTATGAAATTATTTATTTTAATTTAGACGAACTTAAGTTTAACTGAAACAGCTGGGATGTCTATTTCCCAGCATGCTTTGCCGATGGCACTCGAAAGGGAGAGTAAATGCTAAAATTAAGTGTAATATAATGTTTTTTTGTGTGTAAGATTAATGTTATGTGTGAGATTTAGTAGTGATTCATGTTTTGTTATGCTAATTTAGAAGAATTTCTGTTAATGTTGGCTTTAGGATAGTTACCAGCATGGTGACAAGTGGTGCATGCAGCTTGATTTGAGAGCAAATACGTCATTTATATTGATGTGCTCATACAGCAAGTGTTTCTGTATAACATACTATTGCTAATATGTTAGCATTTACTATGTTAGCAGATTAGCTTTTTAAAGCTAAATAAGTTCATACTAATAAAAGTATTTTGAGTTCTGCCAACTTATTTGGGTTTACAGTGTACTTCATAGATTTAAGTTATATTAACTGAATGGAATTAGTACTATTAACTTTGTTTACCCAAGTTATTGAGTTACTTGAACACAAATCAAATCTTTTTTTAAGCTTAAATTGTTTGAGTTAATAAACTTAAATGATTTAAGGCAATCGGTTTCCTCAAACGGTTTGAGTTGAACTAACTCATCAGGTTTTACAGTGCTGGGCACCTTCCATCACCCATCTGCCCAAGGCCCTTCGCTGGCTCTCACCACGTCCTGCTCCGCCCTGGCCACGCCCACAGCCTGTTCCGCCCTGGACGCCCGAGGGTCCAACAGCTCCGCCATGGACGCCTGAGGGTTCGTCTGCTCCACCGTGGCCACGCCCACGTCCTGCTCCGCCCTGGCCGCCTGATCATCCTGCTTCGCCTTGGTCCCTCTTCGGCGCGAGGTCGCGCCTTCCGGAGGGGGGGAGTAATGTTACGTTTGTGTCTGTTTTAATCTTCTGTTTTCTTTCTTAGTCACATGTCTTTTGTTTTCCCGCCACTCATTTTGTTTCCATGCCAACCATCATTAGTTCACCTTCATCACCTTCATCACCTGTGTCCTGTTAATCACCTTCATCTGTATCACCTGGTTATGTTCATCAGTGTCTGTATTTAGTTTGTTCTGTTCAGTCAGTCCTTGCCGGTTATTAGTCTTGTATAGTCGTGTTAGTGTGTGTTATCTGCCTGCCTGAATCTGCCTGTTAGTACCTGCCTGTGATTATCTTAGTAAATTGTTGCAATTGGAGCCTTTTTGACTTTGTCCTTCAACTGCACAACACCGTGACATCTACAGGTCAGTGTATAATTTAATATGGTAAACCCATGTCCACTTATACATGCCAAGACAGTCAGTTATATGAGAGAAAGCAAGATTTCATTAAGATGTTGCTGCATATTTCTAATATCTAAAGCAAAGAGATATAATTTGAGTGAAATTACTGTGAAAGCTGCAAAGTCAGTTCAGAAATATTTTAATTAATCGTTCCAAAACCTAGGAAGCTATCAAGCTTGAAAGCATTGTAGTCAAGTCGAGTCAAAGTTTGTTTATAGAGCACATTTAACTGCATTTGACCCAAAGGGTTTTACACTAAAATATATACAGTAGCAAATTGGAACAAAAATAATAAATTATATATATACACACACACAGTACCGTTTTTGAAAGAAGTCTCTTATACTCATCAAGCCTGCATTTATTTGATCAAAAATACAGAAAAAAAACTGTAATATTATGAAATTACAATTTAAAATAACGATTTTCTATTTCAATATACTTTAAAATATAATTTATTTCTGTGAGTCAAAGCTAAATTTTCAACATTACTCCAGTCTTCAGTGTCACATGATCCTTCAGAAAGCATTCTAATATACTGTATATATAATTGTAATTGGCTGGAAGGTGTGCAATAAAACCGTTTAATGTACAGCTATGTGCTGATCGGAGATCTTAAAGGCAGGGTAGGCAGGTTTTTAAAAAAAAAAAACTTTTTCCCAAATTTGTTTAAACTGTCTTTATATACCAATACATAATTAAAATGTAAGTACTCTAAAAAGGAGAGTATAAAAATCGAGTGTCTGTAGTCATCTCAGGGCTGCAATAAACACAGCTACATATTTCAATTCACTCCCACCCCCTCCCGTCTGGGCTCCTTCCAAAGCCACGCCCACAAAACACATGAACGCGCGATGCCGACCGCTCAGCTGGAGGACGCGTTTACCAGCGCCGAGCGGAGAGGAGCGCAGTGCATGGAGTAACATCATGTCAGAATCACATGTAATAAAATACCTAACTGTATCATTATGAATATAAACAACTAACATGGCTGTTAGTACTCACTATCAAGCTAGCATATCGAGACGGGTAAAGTTTCAAATATATTGAGTTTGATTCAGTAACGAGCTAGTAACATAAGGCAAAGGCAAAAAAGGGGTTGCATTGATACACGTTTTCCAGTTACCATCAGTTACACTATGATGAAGGTGGATTTCGTGTAAGATTCATAACATATACGGTGTATGAATATACGACATTCGATTTTTATACTGTCCTTTTCAGAGTACTTACATTTTAATTATGTATTGGTATATAAAGAGAGTTTAAACAAATTCGGGAAAAAGTTTTTTAGAAAAAACCTGCCTACCCTGCCTTTAACTTCGCTTTTGAATCGCTACATTATATTACACAGAAAAAAAGTTTGTAACGTCGTTGTTTTTGAAGTAATTAAACTCACAGCTTCATTGCTAGTAGAAAGACACAGCACAGACAGGTAATTCACACACATCTCTCTCTCTCTCTCTCTCTCTCTCTCTCTCTCTCTCTCTCTCGATAGACTGATTCATTCAAATAAATGTTATAATTTAGTCAAATAAATGTAACATTACTGCATTTCATCTCTGTTTTTGATTTAAAGTGGGCAGAATGCTAGATCCAACGAATGGTAGCTGACAAAAATAACCATAATTTTAACCCTTCCAGTCAAATTTAGCATTGCAAACATCAGTGACAGCTTTAACTTGTCAATGCTGGTAAATGACCGCGGGATAATCGTGTGCATTAAACAATTTGGCTGCAATCTGCCGTGTAGGGCGGTTCTTTACCTCCATGTCGCGCATTAAAATCGTTTAATGCACAGCTAGCCGTGGATTATCCCTTACATGTATTTATAAATAAGGCTTGATCTTGTCGATTGGGGATTGATTGGATTGTTTGCTATAATTGCTGCAATCTCATGTGAGTGACAGGTTGCTAGAAGGAAGGGATTATTGTCCCACCTTGTGGACAATCAGATGTCATTGCGAAGGGAAATGTTTTTGATTAAAGATTATGAGGGATCATGAATTTAAAAAATGATGTGCATGGATAAATCATTCATAAAACACTGCAATATTTCGTAAAGGAATAAGAATTGTCAATTGTGATTTCATGGTGACTTTAAACTCATTTAGAAGGGGCTATGAAGAGTGTTCCACTTATGTTACCATCTGCCCTATTTTTTTTAATTGATGGTCTATGTAAACATGCAGTAGAAGTGTCTTGTTAAAAATAGTTCAACTTTTGACATGGATCAGTATTTAATAACGCTAAAATGCCTATAAATGCAGATGTTATAGACAGTAGACAGCAAACCAGCTCACTAGGTTTTAAAATACAAAGATGATTTAGATTTAAATCGGTAATTAATTGCAAGCAAAGGATTTCAAAGGACGTGCATGTTGCTTTTATTGATTTTTATAGCATGAACTTTTCATACACAATGAAAAAACACTGTGATATGTTCTTTTCAATTAGAAATCATCAAACAGAATCACTAACAAAGACTGAATTCGCACTACAAAGGGCCAGCTGTGCTTTCAACTAGCACTAGAAAACAATCCCAGTGTCAATATTCTAACAGTGAAGGTGACAATAACGACACCCGGGTTATGCTAGAGAATAGTACACAGGTGTGATCGCGAGCGGTTCCAGGTCATTTGCTTTCCTTGTCCCTGTAACATGCAGCCACGTCTGTTCTTATGAGTTAATGGCACTAGAAGACATAGCGTCTATTACGGAGGGACCTCGGGGGCAGCTAAATACGTCCCTGCTCGTGATCAGGAATATTTATACCTCTTTCTAACCTCTCAGTCCCATCTGCACAGAGATTTTTCCTCCTTTTCATAAATCACTGGGTTGAGGAAATTGCAAACAGGCACACTGGAATAGGATTTTACTGCTGGGAGGGGGATCGTATGGGGGGATGGAGCGGAAATGGGGACACTCATTTGTTTCTCAAATCTTAACATGCTGGGAATTTTAGGCTTTGACACATTTAGCCATGTGCATTTAAAAACAACCCAGATTTGCAGCGCTCGGATGTTTCGTCTCAACGCTACCAGAATGTTCTGCAGATTTGGTTTACTGAGCAGACTGAACAGACTACATTTTTAAAGACAGTAATTTATGTCTGCATTGTTAATGTCTCTTTCAGTAATTTGGATAACTGCATCTTATAGCACGCTGTGAGCTCCTGTATTCTCGTATGTAAAGAATCATTTGTCAGAGTCGTTTAGATGAGATTTGTGGGCAATTTGTTCCTCTCTGTTTTGGAGATGAACTGTGATGGCGTACTGTGATGTCGGGCTCTTATACATGTCTGTGTCACAATCAATAATGTCATTAGGATTCCCTGACTGGGCTTTCCTACCTTCCTCTCCTCCATTCATCACTCTCTACCCCTTTGAGATTAGCAATGCAATTCCAGACCCTAAAATCTAGCAGATCAACATTACAGTTCCTCAAAACCAATCAGCACCTGAAAAACAGAAAAAGAAGCAAGTATCAGAAGCAAATATCTTATTGGGCCATTGAGGAAATGCTGATCAGCTTTTGAAAGCCTTACCTTAAAATGTTTTGATGCCATAAATGTAAAGCTAGGTAACCACTGAGTACAAATGAATTGCATTAATCATTATTTTATAAACGTTTTATAAATGTACTTTCTAAAGCAAAAATGTTTAGTTATTTACTCGTTCATTAATTTAAATATAAAGTATATGAATTTTTTTTTTTGGAGTACCATTTGACTACTTTGTATTCACAAGAAATAATTCAATATTTTACCAAATAACTTAATAATTTTTATTTCAACCTTTTAATGAGATGTTTTTCTTCATTACATTAAAATGTATAAAAAGAAATAATATCATAATGAATTTTAATATCGAAATTTAAGATATGTTCATTTATAGAAGACGTGCATTCGTTTTATTTTATTTTTGTCATGTTTTTTATAAATCAGAAGATTCATTCATACACAAAAAACTAAGATCACTTTATTGACTGCCAGCTACATTTATTTACCTTTAAGAATTAAAAACTGTGCATTGGATGTCAAAGAGAGAATGCTGTAGACAAGAGGAAGAGGGAGTTATATTTCCATCCAAAGAACAGACTTTTAAAATGATTTTATGTTTCCTTTCTTGAGGGTTCTGAACTGTCCATTCTGACAGGCATTCTAGATCCTGTTCATTTACTTCCTGTCCATTTTTATGTTAATGACATTTCCGTGGCATTTAACAGACGGAGGGAACTGACCTTTCTGTGCCTGATGACTCCAGGGGTCAGATGATGGCTCTACTCTAACATTTAACAAATCCTCCTATGCTGCCTAATGGGTGCAGAAACAGAATAGTATATGGAACACAGCCCAAAAATGAAGCGTCCTCATCCAACCCAAAGCCCACTGGCCTCTATAGTTACTTTGTTCACCCTTTAGCTGTAACTCAAGCATGGGCGGAAAGTGAGACGACTGCAATAATTACCAAGCGGCCTTTGGCTTCTGTGAATCGAATGGAGAATCTGATGGAAAAATCCAACTTTTTCCCAAACAAAACCATGTTCACTTCAATGTTTTGGGTTTACGGTAACATGCACTGACCTCAAAAGCACCAAACCAAGCATTTGTGTCACTGTGCCCTAGCTGTCAGTTACTGTTATTAAATTTTTCAGTTCCTTTCTGCTTTGAATTTCTTAATCTTCAGATGCAATTGCTGTATTTGTTTGGTGTTTTAAGGACACTGAATCTGACTGTTCCACAGTAATTAATGTAGACACTGTTAAGAAATTAAGCATGTCTTCTGCTACTACTTTCTATTTAAGTTATATTTTGATGACATAACGCATGCATTTGTTATGTGCTTCAAAGTCCACATAATAATGTGACATATGGGTTTATAAAACCCATTGTTGCAAACTATTTATAATGGCTTACATTGGAGGGAATGCTTCATTCTGTATAGATTTTCTGCTGCTATGTCTCGAGTCTGGGTCTCAGTGTGCATGACAACATTTCTTGATGCATTATACAGATGCATTTCCATTGTAAATAAAATAACAAAGCTGGAATTATTTAAATTCCGTGCAGCTCCAAATGCTTCTTGTCGGTTTCATTATTTTTAGTGTAGAACTTCATTAAATCACGGTTTTATTTTCACCGGAAGATAAACATCTCGCACGACACACGTTAGAGAAAAAGATCCATGTTGCTTCTAGAACACGGAGTCGACTCTTGAGATCTAACCCACTTTCCCCTACACTTGAGAGAGATCCCGGTGTGAACCAAATTAAAATCATTTAGATGGAATCAAAATCATTTGTGGTGCTTGTATTCATTAATTGTGCCTTTCTTACAAGGATTTGCATTTTTTGTGGAGGATTATACATTTCACTATAGTCCATTCAAATAATTATCTAAGGGCTATTATGGGTTGGACAATGACACAACATAATCTCTCATATCATTCTAATTGTCTCATTCTTCATGCCCTTAAACCACCAAATCCAAAAGGCCTCCTTTATAGTTGATGTTAAATCAAGTAGTTTCTGTAGTACCCTATCCTGTGGTGTGACATGCGAGAATTCACTAAAGCTGTTCTTAAAAAAATATTTCTTCTATAATTAATATACATGGAGCTTTTATGACCTTATACTAATTGAGGTTACTGGAAATAGTTGGTCACATGGTCACACCACAGAACCACTTAAAATTAACTAGAGAAGGAAGAAAGGCGAATATTCACACACATACCGTAGCTTACCATACAAAAGTTGGTTACATTTTGCAATGTTTTTGAAAGAAGTTTCTTATGCTCACCAAGTCTATGGGTACGTTTAACCCACAACGATGTACTAAAACGGCATTTTTCGCGTCCAGACGACACCTGTCAAAATGATCCCCGTTTCACACGGATCCGTGAAAACGACTAAAAAATGTTGTATTATGCTGCCAGGCCAGTAGTTGGCGATGTCACTTTGTAAAGAAACACTATACTGAACACATAATGCGCATGACGCGTTTTTTTTTTTTTTTTTTTACACGGGACAATAATATATTGTTTTCAAAATCTTTTGAAACTCGTTTCTACTCCAAACTTTTGAATGGTAGTGTATTTATATTAGAGAAAAACATAATTGGAGAGAATATAATTTTTTTTTTTTTTTTTTCTAATAATTCGAGAGAAAAAAAGAAAGGTTTGACAGTTTCACAGCATCTAGATTACAGGTCTCCCACAATGGGCTTTCAAGCATTTAATCAGGGGCCGGTTGCATAAACTGCTCAGAATATTCTTACAAGTTAGTCATAATTTTTTTTTTAATCCTATTTTTCATAACTTTTTGAAGTCAGTTACATAAAAATGTAGATTGGTCTAATTTGATACCAAAAAGTAAGACTGATTACCCCCAACTAAGGCCACATTTACACTGCAGGAGATGCCCAATTCCAATATTTTTTCTTTTGACGAACAGCTAACTTTGTTTTTGTTAAAGTGACCCATATCCCATATCTGCATTTACATTTGGCAAAACAACCCAAAGTAGACGCACTGACCCGGAAAAGCTTAGGCCGAAAACGAAGTAAAAACGGCGGCATTTGTAATGGACGCAGACAAAATGATAATACAAGCTTTTGCTTTCTGCACAATCTTTAACGGTCAGCAAGACATTGGTCTCTTAAGGCAGAGAAGAAGAAAAAAAAGGAGAGCCCTTGTTGAAGCCTGAGTGAATGTAGCAGTGTTCGCTGCTGTCCACTTCCGGACCGTCCACTAAAATGGCATACGCAAATGCACGTTTCACGTTCCTGGGTCAAATCCGATCTGTGCCACGTGGGAGAAAAAAATCGGAATTGGGTCGAGTAATGTAAATGCGGCCTGACTGCTAGTTGGTCATTCTAGTTCTTTAGACACAGTCTTAACATAATGGCTTTTTGCAACTGGCTCCAGAAAACACCACAGCATCGATACATGTCACCCACAGACACAAACAGAAGTGGTGAACATTTGATGTCATCTGCCTGACCTAGTTAGGATATGAAAGCTTGGATCATTTAAATGGCAATCCTTACCTGCCTTTCAGAGGCAATTTGGTTCCTCCCACTGCTATTAATATCACACACTGATTGACTTCAGTGTAATCTGAAACACTTCAAATAAAATCAGGTGAGTCTACTTTAACCTGAGCCAGTGATAACAGCATGCTAGTTTAAAGCTCTCTCTTAAACATCACATTGAAATTAATATACACACAGACGGAGATGCAAAAAGACATTTGATCAATATAATACACAGTACACACCGCTGTTATGAACATGCAGTTGCACAACACAACATATTGCACAACATATCTCAAGTGCGTCATTATATTAGAAACCTGAAAAGTGATTTGAGATTGTTTTTTAAGTGTGTTAGTTCAGGAACTGGAGCCAGTGGGAGTCCTGATGTCTTCCTTGCAATCAGTTCTTTATGGAGAAAGTCCATTCTGGTAACATTTCAAACAGCTCACCTCAATTACCAATATTAACACATTACCTGATGCCAGCTGTGAGCACTCTGGTTTCATTAGTGCAGGGTGCTATAGACCCACGCAAACACACTTTTAGCTTACAGTTTGGTGTGATCACGCCATGTCGTATATATCATAAGGATTCTGAACTGTAAAAAGCCTAAAATAAATTAAAAAAAATTAAATAAAAGCCCTGGCAATCACCCACAGCAGCCTAGCATCCTGGTGCTGACTTTTGTACGTGCAAACCTGCACATTTCCTTCAGAAATGTAAAAAAAAGTGCTTTGTATAAGGAAATATTTCATGCCTTTTTCACTCTCTTTCTTATCGGGTCTCCTCAGCTTGCCACTTAGCTTCCTTTATGATAAACCAGCCCTAAACTCGTTTTGCATAATTCACTGTGCTATACCATAATTGTTGTGTAGGGCATGTGTTTTTTATGGTATTCCCTACGTTATGTAACCCAGTATTGATGTTGAGCTGCAAATGGAGGATTTTTCCGGAAATTGTTTATTGGCAATAACCTCACCCATCCGCATATAAACACAGGGCATGTATTTGTTATGTTATGGAAGCCTGTAGAGCGTGTCCAGGGTAATCTCGCTCTACATAATGAATACGCTCTGTGAGGTGCTCAGCTGCCAGTGTTTCCCAGCTCCGAGGTGCAGGAAGGGAGAGGTAAGAGGAAGAGGGGGCTGGGAACGCGTGAGCTCTTTAATTCTGCACCAGGGGAAAACCCTTCTCAATTTCTGTGTGGGTGGATTATGGGTTATAAGTGTGAGAGCGTGCGCGCATGTATTATGCAGGAGCGTGTGTGTGTGTGCATGTTTTTTTTTGTTTTTTTTGCACATAAATAGATGTTGTAGTATGTATGTATGTATGTCAACTGCAAACCACCCTGAGTGTTTGTTTTTCCATTGGTTTGCAGTGTGGAGTGCAAGTTGTCTACCTGTGTGTCTATGTGTGTGTGTGTTTATTGGACAGCTGGTGTGATAAATGAGACACAGGGGTAGGGGAACCTTTTTCCCCCTGTAGAGCAGATTGCATGTGTGTCTAGGCTTGTCTGACAGCTCCTATAGGAAGCATCAGGAGTATTGGGGGAGGGGAGGGGCGCAGCGATCCAGTTGTTTTGAAGCACTTTGCACATGTTTAGGTGTTTTACACCAGTGAACAGGTTTGCTTGTTGGCTTTATATACAATTTATATGGCTGTTTATAGCATAAAATACCATTTTAAAGGGATAACTTATTAAAAAATGGAAATTCTGTCATCATTTACTCACCCTTGTGTCGTTCCAAACATGCATGATTTGCTTTCTTCGGTGGAACATAGAAGATATTTTACAAAATGTCCAGAATGCTCTGTATGGATACAAAATAATACGTCGTAAATGCAACGTGTGCACTGTGTTGCAAGCATTCTGAAGCCATTGGATAGCTTTTTCTCTAAAAATGCTACTTTCCGTATTAGGTTTGATGTCAATGACAATACACACAAGTACACTGACTTTTAAGGTATCTTTACATGTCTTTTACACACTTTCATAATGGACATTTTTAAAGACAAATTTTAAAGACACACATCACCCCCATTCTCTACCAACTCCACTGGCTACCAGTTCCGTCGCGGATCAAATACAAAGTAGTACTACTGACCTTCAAAGCGCTCCATAACCTTGCTCCCCCCCTACATCCGTGGCCTCCTGATCCCGTACACTCCATCCCGCTCACTCAGATCTTCTGACCAAAATCTCTTGGCTATCCCCCGCTCCAGACTTTCCACCCTGGGTGGCAGATCCTTCAGTGCCTTGGCCCCCAAACTCTGGAACAGCCTCCCACAACCTCTTCGTGACTGTCCTTCACTTCCCCTCTTTAAAGCTCATCTCAAGACCTTTTTGTTTAATGATCATTTCTCCACACCAAACTCATAGCTTCATACTGATAACTTGTCTTTGTTGTATTGTTTTGGTTGTTGCTGTTGTGTATTCTTTCCTTCCCACTATGTAAAGCGACCCTGGGTTTGAGAAAGGCGCTATATAAAATAAACGTATTATTATTGTTATTATTATTATTATTATTATTAAAGGTTGATGGCCTCAGTGCCCATTACACTGTCCTTCAAAAGTTTGGGATTAATACGATTTTTTTGTTGAAAGAAATTACAATTTTATTCAGCAAAGACATTAAATTGTTCAAAAGTTATTTATATTGTTATAAAATATTTCGATTTTAGTTTATTTTGTAGTTCCTAAAACGCATAGAGGTTTCCACATAAATATTAAGCAGCACAACTGTAACAGCGCAACATTGATAATAATTAATTAATTAATATTTCTTGATTTCAGCAAATCTACATATTGGAATGATTTCTGAAGACTGAGTAAGAGTAATAATGCTGAGAATTCTGTTTTTCCATCACAAGAATGAATGAATGAATTATTTAATTAATTAAAGAATACATTTTAAACATATTTTACTGTTTTTACTGTATTTTTTTAATCAAATAAATACAGCTTTGTTAAGCATATAAAATAAATCATACCAACCCCAAACGTTTGAATAGTGTATGAGTGAACAAATCTGAAATGAACTGTAAGTTACAATGAATAAAAGCATCTGTAAAATCTTATATAAAAAACACTGTACACTGAAAATATGTAAAAAGACATCGATACTTTCGATATTTCATTGGCTGAACGAACAACACCCAGGTACACAACACTATAACAATACACTAACCTCCAAATACAGCATCTACTCGGAAAGCGTTTATTTGGTTCTGCTGTAGGAAATATATATATAAAAAGAACTGTATATTAGCACTTAATTGGCATGTTTATCACACAGCAGTCAAAATATTACTCAACTGAATCTTTGGTTTATTGTTGGAAGTGAAAATAACTGTCAGTCGTGATGAGTCATGCACCACAAAACATTTCTCTGGAAAATAGCAGCGGAATTAATATTTATTTGAGCCACAGAATAAAGGAAATGTCATCCTTCTGTTTGTTTTCATACTACTAACCGCAGGATGATTTTCATTGACATGCCTAATGCCAGACGTTCAAATGAATCTCATCCTCTGCCCCGCTTGTTCAGTATATGCTGACTGATGTGAACTCCACAGCAAGCTTTCTTCAGACATCTGCAGCTGATGGAATGAAACAGTCGATGTCCTCTGGCCACAGAAGTCTCGCTGATGTTGTGGAAGAATGGATGAAAGACATGCAGACAATCTGTGGATCAGGAGGTGCATTCACACATGGCCCCCCTAAGGGCATGTTGAGATATAACCTAATAGCCAGGAGGGAGATTAACCAGTCTATTCTCAGTCCATTTATTACACTGACAGAGCCCTAAAGAGGAGAGGTGTGGAGAGAAATAAAGAGAGACGAGTTACGGCCACTAATCTCCACGGCTTCTCCTTCCCTTTGACCTTCGCATCTCTCTTATATTCACGTTTTTTGAAAGAAGTCTCTTATGCTCACCAAGGCTGCATTCATTTGATCAAAAATACAGGAAAAATACAGTAATATTGTGAAGTATTAAAATAAATGTTTTCTATTTTAATATATTTTAAAATGTTATTCCTTAGATTGCAAAGCTGAATTTTTATAAGTAATTACTCTAGTCTAAAGTATCACATGAAGAAATGTATTCTTATTATCAATGTTTAAAACAGTTGTGCTGCTTAATATGTGAAAACTGATGATTTTTGAGTTTTGAACTGACAACATTTATTTGAAACTGAAATCGTTGGTAACATTATAAATGTCTTTACTGTCACGTTTGATTTATTTAATGCATCCTTTTTTAATAAAAGTATAAACTTCTTTCAAAAAGAAAATTCCTACTGACCACAGTGTAGTGTATATTATATTAATACAATATAAAATAAAGCCCCCCTCTGAAGACCACTTGTAATGAGAAAAAAAACGGACCAGTTTTTTATGACCATTTTCCATCCTCTCTCTCTAAGCCTGTTAATGTTTTGTACATTTTGTACAATACATACGTGAGGCAAGTTGTCACATATCGTTTAAATGTTTACGATTATAGTTGCTGTGGGCCAAAATTTGACACTTTATCAAACTTTTCATGATCCTATTGTGACAACTTACCCCAAATATTACAACAAGCCCCACAATTGTCCATGCACACTCAAGTGCAAGTGGATTAGAAGTGCTTATGCAAATCAATGCCAGACTGGTGATGTGTAAAATTATTTGTTTTGCTTTTCTCATTTAACAAGAATAACACATACAAATGAATGCCATAATTACACAGAACATCATTTCACTCTTCTAATTGCAATTTTTCTACGTGAGATGTTACATTTCAAAGCAACTGTAAGTTAGTGTGTGCATGTACTTATATGGGAGCATACCTGTGTGTATGTTATATTTCCCCATGGTTAAAATGGTTGGCAGGGTTGAGGAGGTGTCAGCGATTACGCATGGAAATAGATGTGTGTTTGTTTTTCTAATTACCATGGCAGCAGATGTTCTGATTGGTAGCACTGCCTAATTAGCAGGGGTGAGAAAAGAAGATGCATTCAATAATATTGCCAAAACATGAGGCTTTATATAAAAAGAGAAGATGAGTTTGAAATGAGTTTGGTTTGACTCACAAAATCATGACCAAATAATTTTCTGCCAAAATCAGGGAAAAATAATTATATCTGCTAAAAGAAAATGAAATACTTAAGATAATTAAGACTTTTCATTTGGCATTGTGACATATTTTCATTAAATCTAACTCCCAATCTTAACACATAAAACATAATATATTATTTAAAGCGTTCAAATATCATGTTGTTCTGCCATTAAATGAATTGATTTCAATTTAAGAAATCATTGTATTGCAGAAAAAATATTTTTTTTCATTAGAATCTCCACTGAGAATAATTACAGTAATGAGAATATGGGGGGAAATGTGCTTAATTGGCATTAAAATATGGTCCCTATGCAAAAATAATATTAAAATAGGCTTCATTTTCTTTCTTCTGCGAAATATAATTTCTTTATAATTGATTTTGGGGTAAAAATGTGACCTTGTGTTTTGTGAGACTCGTCAATATAAATGCAGTATTTTTGGTGGTCTACAAACATTACTTAACCAAAAGGCAAGTCTTTGACCAAAATATAATACCTAAAAAACAATCATTCAAGACAATATGCCATTCTTTTTTTAATTTCCATACCGCACACAGTATCCTACACTCTTAAAAATAAAGGTCCCTTATTGGCACCAATGGTTCCATGAAGATCCTTAAACATCCATGGAACCTTTCCATTACACAAAAAAGTTCTTTATAGTGAAAAAAAAAACGGTTCTTTAGATCATTAAAAGGTTCTTCATGGAAAAAAAAAAATGTCTTTTTTAAGAACTGCTCACTGAAAGGTTAAATTGGGGAACCCAACATGTTTCTTACATGGGATTGCTGCGAAACCCCACTTTTGGATCTTTTATTTTTAATAGTGTAGATGATAACTGACCAGCCTTTAAGGGTCACAGCCACACACAAAAAAACACATTCAACAGACATCCACACAGATCTTTTGCCAGTCTTTTGTTATTAGGCCTGTCTCCGACTGCTGACAGTCCAGAAAATATTTCTATATCCTGCACTGACCTTGACCAATGTGAACATGTAATGATCTCCACCTTAGCTTCCTGATCAGTGACCCCAAACCCCCCATCGATTTCTGCTTTTGCTCACCAGCGAGTTGCCAATTAGTGTCACAGAGGCCTTATTTCACCAAGCTAATATTTGGATAGTCTAGACACAATGTCTCATAGTACTTCATCTGTATTTCATTTCCCTCCCCCTGTTGTATTTTCTGCTGCACTTGCTGTGCAAGAATTCATCTCTAAAGCCATCCGACCAGTCATTTAAAGAATAGTTTCACTTTAAATTCCGATTAATAATGCATACTATTGGCAGGCTCATACAAAGGGCAAAACCAAAAATGCTCATGAATATTTAATTACTCTGAGCTCTTTTTTTACAAAGATGAATCGCCCCTGTGCTCTCTAGATGGCTCATGCTGTGCAAATACCCTGTTTAATCAATGGCTACCCAATCCCTGCTTGTGCAATCATGACAGACACCAGCTACCGATCACAGTGGAGAACGGATTCCATTATCAGAAATGGGGATTGCTTAACATGAGCTCAGGAACGAGGACACACAGACAGAAATATAATCACGGAAACAAGTTCCCTCTTGAGTTGAGGACCACATGCTTGAATGAGATGAAGAGAGAGGGTGAGATGTAGGAGAGAGCTGCCATCTTAACAGCTCTGTGATGACGAGGGTGAAGGCTGAATATGAAGAGAGTCTCTGTCCTACTCACCCTCTCCTCAAACCACTCATTGAAGATAAGATTGAGTGCAAGGGACACATCAAGGCTCACAACATCACTCTTCTCAAATCTGAAGAAAAAGCTAATTCAATGCTGTTTGGAGGATGTATCTGTCCTTGCAAAAAAGATGTTTCTGTATAAATGTGTTTTTATTGACTTTGCAGTGGTGAAGGTTGTTCTACTGAACACTACAAGAAGCATATAAGCAGAAATAAAGAGCCTTAGAAAGTTTTTTTTCTCTCTCTCATTTTCTTGTCCCCATAAGGAAAACAGCTTATAAATCAGACTTAATTATGTTTTTTGGAAATGTAAAAATGTAGAAAGTTTTCTGTGATGGGTATGTTTTAGGGTTAGGGGATAGAATAAACAGTATTTACAGTATAACATGTCTATGGAATGTCCCCATAAAACATGAAAACACAACGTGTGTGTGTGTGTGTGTGTGTGTGTGTGTGTGTGTGTGTGTGTGTGTGTGTGTGTGGTTATAAACTTTATTTTGAGGTGTCTTTGTTACAGTGTAATTATACAATTAAGTACTAAGTAATAGTAATTAACATGTACTCCCTATATAATTACTGGGTTAGGGTTAAGGTTTGGTTTAGTTGCATGTAACTATGCATAATTGACTGTTATTACTATAGTAACTACATGTAAAATGTGTAAGGGTCACGGTAAAAAAAAAAAATGTTACCAACTGCTCCATTTAAAAAAACACTCTTTTCGCCTTGATAATTTGGCAAAACATCGTGATATAAACGTCTAATTGCGAAGATGTGATTGTCTTCAGCAGATACAGGTCAGTCTCTACATGTTTTCCTCCCTCGCGTGCTCGCTGAAGCGCGCGCACATCTTCAGCACCATGGAGAGCTCCGTCGTCTTCATCGAAACGTTCAGCCACGACAATAATTCATGCGTTAAGTCATAACCATCATAATGTATGAAAACGGAAGTAATTGTTTTACGCTAAACTGTTTTTGCGAAAATTATAAAACAATAACACTTGCTTCGTAAAGCAAACAGCCTATGACATCATTTGACATAATTTCGACACTCTTCCTTGTGTAAACAATACATCAAATGGCATTTTATCGTGACAACGTAGGCTACATGGCGTTAGTTAATCTGTTTTTAAACCAATTTGAGATTCTGAGATACAATCAGTTTCTAGACTTTTTACATTTATTTATTTATTGTATTTGTCATTTGCAAGTGATAATGGCAGTTTTGTCGGTCTGCACTCTTACAAGAAGATAAAAACTATCATATCATACTAAATAAACTCGGAAAGTCGCGCGCTCGCCTGAGGAAGTAACCATTGCAACAGTTATGTTTAGTAGCGAATGGGAGAACGAGATGTAACTAATATATAGACTAATCACCCAAAAAAACGTTATAGGCTAGTTTTGTAAAGCGATTTTAAGATAGTTACGTGGCTGTTACGTGTCCTAAATGCTTAAAAGATTGTGGTTGCACGAAAAGAACCTTAGAACAAAAAAAGAACATACATCGCTTTTAAAAAGGTCTCTGTATAATTCACACACTGTCTGGGAAAGCACGTCTTTGGTATTATGTCAATTATTTAAACTTGAGTAATAGGCTATACTTTATGTGAATGATTTGCGTAATGCGCGCAAGGCAAAACACAGTGGCGCGCGCGCGCCGAGAATCGACTATCTTTTCTTGTTGCGCTCCGATTGGGCGAGTGTTGGAAATGTGTCAGACATATGTTTGTCGTGGGCGGGAGTAGACATGTGTTTATAAAGCTCCGTGGGGCGGCGACAGTGTGTTAAGAAGGAAAAGAGAGCGCGCGACAGAGAAACCCTCAATTCACCCGATGTTAGGTAGGGGAGGCGGGTCGCCCTCTGCCGCTCCGTCTCCTCACCTGTATGGATGACCACTACAACCTCATTGACTCACCCTCAGCCAGCCACAGAGGGAACAACGCCGACAACCACGGGTACGCGGAGACGGAGAAGGACATCATGACAGTGGTCGCGTGCGATAACATGCTGGAGGAGAGCGCGGCGCTGCCCAGTCACCTGTCGCTGGATCGATACGAGCCCGACCACGAGTGCTGCGAGCGAGTGGTCATCAACATCTCGGGACTGCGCTTCGAGACCCAGCTGAAAACTTTCAATCAGTTCCCGGACACGTTGCTCGGGGACCCGAAAAAGAGGATGCGCTACTTTGACCCGCTCAGAAACGAGTATTTCTTTGACAGGAACCGACCGAGCTTCGATGCCATCCTGTACTACTATCAATCAGGGGGGCGTATTCGGAGACCCGTGAATGTTCCCATTGACATCTTCTCGGAGGAAATTCGCTTTTATCAACTTGGCGAGGAAGCCATGGAGAAATTTCGTGAGGACGAGGGATTTATCAAAGAAGAAGAGCGACCTTTGCCAAACCACGAATTCCAGAGACAGGTTTGGCTTTTGTTTGAGTACCCAGAGAGCTCTGGTCCTGCGAGGGGCATTGCTATTGTGTCTGTTTTGGTCATTTTGATTTCCATTGTTATTTTCTGTTTGGAGACCCTGCCCGAGTTTAGGGATGACAAGGACCCACCTCCTGTCTCGCCTATTGTAAATGGCACTGGTCCTTTCGTGTCCAGCACTTTTACAGACCCTTTCTTTGTGATCGAGACCCTTTGCATCATCTGGTTCTCTTTCGAACTGCTCGTGCGATTCTTTGCGTGTCCCAGCAAGGCTACTTTTTCCAAAAACATCATGAATATTATTGATATTGTGGCTATTATTCCTTACTTCATCACTTTGGGGACGGAGTTAGCCGAGAGCCAGGCCAACGGTCAGCAAGCCATGTCTCTCGCCATCCTCCGCGTGATCCGTCTGGTGAGGGTCTTTCGCATCTTCAAGCTCTCGCGCCACTCCAAAGGCCTCCAAATTCTCGGCCAGACACTAAAAGCCAGCATGAGGGAGCTGGGACTCCTCATCTTCTTTCTCTTCATCGGGGTCATCTTGTTTTCCAGCGCCGTCTACTTCGCGGAGGCTGACGACCCTTCCTCGAGTTTCAGCAGCATCCCAGATGCTTTTTGGTGGGCTGTGGTTACCATGACCACTGTCGGCTACGGAGACATGCATCCAGTAACCATAGGAGGCAAAATTGTGGGTTCTTTGTGCGCCATCGCTGGCGTATTGACCATTGCGCTGCCCGTCCCTGTCATTGTGTCCAATTTCAATTACTTTTATCACCGGGAAACCGATGGGGAAGAGCACGCACAATACCTCCACGTCGGCAGCTGTCAGCATCTCAACTCCACAGAAGATCTGAAACAGACACAGAGCACATCCTCACTCAGTAAATCGGAATATATGGTCGTAGAGGAAGGAATAAATAGTGCTTTCAAACAGACGAACTACTCCAACCAGAACAATCAAAACTGTGTGAATATTAAAAAGATTTTCACAGACGTGTAAATCATGTGCAGTGCCAGACAGTCTTACAACAATCATCATGAGGCACCACTGAAAATGTCAGGTGCCGCGTTATTAGGGTACGACGGGGCTAAAAGCCGCCCCTTTTTTTTGGTTTTGGTCCCAAAGTATATGACAGGTGAAAAGATTATTATTATTATTTACTGAATATTGGAGAAACTTAATTTGTATAAAGTAAATGCAACAAGTAGTATGTTTTGATTTAAAAGGCAACTAGAGGGAAGAATTTGTCACCATATGCAAATACTTTTGATATAGCAAGATATTTTTTTAGAGTAGTGCTGTTAAATCGATTAATCGTGGTTAATCGTGATTAATCGCATCTAACATAAAAGCATCTAACTTTTATGTTAGATGCAATTAATCAAGATGAATTGATTTGACAGCACTATTTTAGAGTAACATTTAAGTACACACTTGTTCAAAATGATCACTTCAGCAAACCATGTAGCTATTTTTAGTTTATTTACTCACTTTTGGCATTTCATGGAGCTACAATGTAAGCACAGTCATATTTCACATAGTGACTAAAGCAGTTACAGTAATATTAGCCCTCTTCTCACAAAATTAAAACTATCACCTCCCAATTACCGAACACAGCTAGTTTTTGGTTAAGTTACACTTATTCAACAGGTACTGAAAAACTATAGATTAAATCAGCTTCAGCAAAACTTAAGATCAACAGGTGTTTAGGAAAGTACTGTGGTAGTTTTTGTTGCTTTTCAGAGTTTTGTGAGTAAGTAAATCAAAGGGCCTTTCACCCCCGATGGCCTTTAGATCCGTTGTACCCTACATGTTTTAGACAAGCCAGCATATTAGACTGAAGTAAATCAGGGCGCTTTTTTGGTAGCAAGGTGCCAAACTCCGATTCACGTGTTGCATTTGTCTACAGCACAAAGGATAAGGTTCAGGTCAGGGAGTAAAAAGAAGCACCACTCACACTGCATATATTGTGCTCGTAAGTCTGCGTTTGTTGTCAGTGTTAACATATAATCATCATAATACATTAGTATTCGCAATATCTTACATTTTGTGGCAAAGTGAAACAACCGAATACGTGTCGCTATTAATGTGAACAAACTGAAGATAATGCTGTGTTGATCATATGTATTTTGTGGAATATATGGGTGATTCAATTAGGGGAAGTTTTCTGTCATTTAGGATGATTTTAAAGATAAACTCTTTTATAAAAAATAATAATAAAAAAAATCAACAAACCAAAAATCCTATCCTTTTTTTAAAGAATATATTAAAATAGATTTTAAAGGGTTAGTTCACCCCAAAATGAAAATTCTGTCAGTAATTACTCACCCTCATGTTGTTCCAACCCCGTAAGACTTTCGTTCATCTTCGGAACACAAATTAAGATATTTTTGATTAAATCTGAGAGCTGGATCACTCCTCCATAGGCTTCTTAAGGGATTGAAACTGGCCGGCCCAGAAAAGTTAAAGACATCGTTAAAAAAAATAGTCCCAGTGGCTCAATCTTAAGTTTATCAAGCGACGAGAATACTTTTTGTGCGCAAAAAACAAACAAAAATAACGACTTTATTCAACTATTCATTTCCTTCTCTGTGGGTCTCGAGATTTCACGTAGTGGAACTGCGCAACGGTTCTGTGTTGCACGTCACACGTAGGCTCACTATTGGCCGACGCTGGACATGTGTGTGATGTGTGTGACCTACAACCTAGAAGCTTTGCGCAGTTCCACTACGTGAAATCTCGAGGCCCACAGAGAAGGAAATGAATAGTTGAATAAAGTCGTTATTTTTGTTTGTTTTTTGCGCACAAAAAGTATTCTCGTCACTTGATAAACTTAAGATTGAGCCACTGGGACTATTTTTTTTAACGATGTCTTTAACTTTTCTGGGCCGGCCAGTTTCAATCCCTTAAGAAGCCTATGGAGGAGTGATTCAGCTCTCAGAATTAATCAAAAATATCTTAATTTGTGTTCCGAAAAGGAACGAAAGTCTTACGGGGTTGGAACAACATGAGGGTGAGTAATTACTGACAGAATTTTAATTTTGGGATAACCCTTTAATGTGTCTCTTTAATAGGGTGAAACAGTCGGGTTCCAGAGGTAAAAGCCCCATTCATTTTCTCCACAGGGAAATTTATTTTGAACAAGACACTGACTGACCTACTGTGGGCTACGAGGTTGTTAATCCACAGCATTTGCTTCTGCTGAAACTGCCAGCCCACATTATTTCATCTTATTTTTAAAATAATCGTGTTTAACGGTGGAATTCCTGGTGAAAAACTACATTACCCATAATGCTGTACAGAAAATTACACCAATCAGTGAGTCGAAAAAAGTAACATGAACCAAAATAGCTCTTTAGCTCCGCCCACTTCCATGAACACTGCGAATGACGTAATCGAGTCAGTCTCTCTAAGCTCTCAAAATACTTAAATGTTTGTATGTATAAGTATACAATAAACTCAACAAAAAAAATAAATATATATAGGCTATTAGCATTTGTAAATATGTAGTTTTATATTTTTCCATTGTTTTTAATTCGATTATCCTGTTCTTCTGTATTTTTGTCAGATTTTCAAAAACTTTTTTGCTTCAAATTAAAGTTTGTAGCGTTGTGATTCACCTCGTAGCTAATTGGCTCGTTTCATGGCTTATAATGCTTTAACAAAGACTTTAAAAAAATTCCTATGGGAAAAATTAATGGAAAAAATACTTCCGGAACCAGCGCTGCTGAAAAAGGGGACAGGCACTGTTGATCTCCTCATTTAATTTGCCAGAATTGTCTCCTACCATGACTTTTTAATTTGTCTTCTACCATAAATCTATATTAAATGTAACTTAAAATAAACCATATTTTTTATTCATTTGCTATTTGTGTAAAATTAGAATTTTTTTATAACAAAGAATTGCTGTCCCCAATACTGCTGTCTTTCCAAAAACATGTTTCTACTTGGTTATGATAATATGTGACAGAATATCATTAATTTTTAGAGTTAAGAAGAAATCATGACCTTAGAGTGGATTTCTATTAGGTGTAGATATTGTTTTAATTCTGAAACAATCCATTTATTATGTATTTTTAAATGAGGTTAATTGGCTCATAACTGACTAACTTTTTCTCAAGGTTATTAAGGCCATCTGATCTTTATTCCATGATAAATAGCATATTAACATAGATTAAAAAGTAGTCAAAAAGTTCCCGTAATTGAAGAATCACCCAGTGCAGACTCAATTAATGTGAAAAAAACTATACGTTTTATTAATAATGTAATCAAAGCTATGTGTGTCTATTGAATTTGACTTTACTGTACCAAATGAAATTGGTTTGTACTGAATGAAAGGAAATAGATCTCTATTTTGTGATCAAGTTATTCGGTGTGCGAAGATATCTCCAGATTATGTCAAACTCAAATCACATCTAGCCTAAAAATAGTGTTCACACTTTCCCCTCAAAGTGAGACGTCACAGTGGTTTTGAATTATGAAAAAAAGAAGCAGCTGAAAAGATGGCTTGGATGGTTGGTGAAAAAAAAAGCTGTTGGACTCAATGGAATGGCAGACTACGAGAACGGATACTGAAAGACTGAGAGAGATCACGCCTTGAGTCCGCCTTGTGATGCAGTCTCCATGGCGACTACGGTTTCCTGGGTAACCCCCGTTAATGTTACCATGACATCCTCCCCCGTTGTCAGAGCAACGCTCCAGATGGTTCACAAAGCCTGACTGGCAAAACAGAGCGTGAGAATTGTGATCAGAAAAGGATCTATCTGAATCCTTTATACAATAATATAAAACAGATTCTGCAAATAATTCGCACAACCTTGGGTTTGCAAACCATCGAGAGCTGATGCACTCCCACATTTTTCCATTTTTTAATCTTTAACAAATGACTGAATGTGTTGCATGTGGAAAACGATTGATATTGGCGAAACGGACCGAAAGACAGACAGATGAAAAGCACGAAACGTTGTGCATGCAAATTGCCTGCATGACTCCAGAGTGTGAAGTAGGTTGTGGTGGATTGTTGTAATCGCCCGTGGCTCGGGTGCTTTTCCTTTGTAGCTGTCAAAGCGTGATTCTGTTCAGGTTATGGGTTCACTCAGGCGTTCCCTATTTCGTTCTCCTGTGGAGAAAACAGGACGCAAGGTGCAGCGTGAGCTGATTAGCGGAGGTTTCACGCTGACACTCCCGTTGACGGGTGTAAGAGGACGCACGGCGGTCCGCCAGACACGTTCCAAACGCTCAGTCACAGAGAATCACTCTCAGCCTGTAGACCTGTGCTCTGCGCTGTCCGTCACAGTTGTCTTTTCACACTACCTAGAATTAGAGCAGAAAAAGAAGACAAGCATGACTGTTATTAAACTCATTCATAAAGAAAACATTATTTTTAATGAGTCTCTTTTAATCTAATAATTTTTACAGATTCTTAAAGGGTTAGTTCACCCAAAAAGTCAATTATTCCATAATTTAAGCCATCCTAGGTGTATATGACTTTCTTCTTTCATCCAAACACAGTCAGAGTTATATTAAAAAATGTCTTTATAATGGGAGTGAATGGTACCTTAGATTTTGAAGCCCAAAAAAGTGCGTCCATCCATCATAAAAGTAATCCATACGACTAGGGGGTTAATGGATTAATGGCCTTCTGAAGTGAAGCGATGCGTTTTTGTTAGAAAAATATCAATATTTATAACTTTAAATACTAATCACTGGCTTCCGGTAACGGCCGTACACAAGTCGAGTTCCGGCAGAAGAGTGACCTCCGACCCGACGTATGGCGTATTGACGAACGCAAGCAAAACAAAACACCCGTCACGAATTAGAAGTCTAAAACGAGAATTTTTAATGAGAAATGTGGGAGTTTGTTGCCGAGTCCTATTTGTTTGAACCGTGAGAGGCGTCTGCTCTCATCTAAGCTTACGCTACGCCAGTGATTATAGTTTATAAAATTATAAATATAGATATTTTTCTTACAAAACCGCATCGCTTCACTTCAGAAGGCCTTTATTAACCCCCTGGAGCCGTATGTATTACTTTTATGATGGATGGATGGATGCACTTTTTTGGGCTTCAAAATCTAAGGTACCATTCACTCCTATTATAAATTTGGAAGAGCCAGGATATTTTTTAATATAACTCCAATTGTGTTTGGCTGAAAGAAGAAAGTCACATACACCTAGGATGGCTTGAGGGTGAGTAAATTATGGGATCGTTTTAATTTTGGGGGGAACTAACCCTTTAACACCAGATATGTTTTTTTTTTACTGGTATGAATCAAATAGGTCCTTGCTGACTTGTTGCTCAGTGCTGCCATCAAGTGACGTGTCCATGCAACAGAACAACCACTGCTCAGTTGACAAAGTAATTCTATGCAAACCTTCAAAAACATCTAGACCATGGACATAAATTAAAAACATACATGAATGTAACATAAAATTAAATATCTGGCAACAATGCTATTTGGAATGCAACTTTTTTTGGTTTGTTTTCCTCACCACAAGCTTTTATCTGTCAATGTGGACAAAATGACAAAAGTAAATCCTGCCCGATTTAATGTTCTCTCCATACTCGTTCCTCTGTCTCTCTGAAACCTTCAAGCATCCCTGTGTCTAGGAATGGCTTGTCTATGATGATTTCTTATTATAGAGTATGTGTGTGTTAGTTTGGTGCCTGCACTGACTCTCACATTTGCGAGCTGTTATACTCGAGGCGTTAACATGGAAGCTTGCGTCTGAGGTGTTGAGGCTTGCATTACACCTCTCAAAACTCACGCTGACATCCTAAGACTCAGAAGTCCATTAACTCTTTCCAAAAAGGTGCTGATAACAATGTTTAATCCTTCTTCGATAAAGTTAACTTCTATCTTGTGTGTGTGTGGGGTTTTTTTTCACAAGGAATCAACATGGAAGTATGTCCACTGGAATTCTAGTGTTTGCCGATGACGGATATTAGGCTAATAAGCAAAGCGTGAAACACTCTTGTGACGTACTCCAAAACAAGGAAGGCAACAGGATTCAGAAGGTAAAGCAATTGCATTTTTTTTCTGGTATTTTTTGCCGTCCAATATTATTGTGGTGTTAAAGGGATAGTTCACTTTGAAATTAATTTTTGATATGTTTTAGCTTACCTCAAGGGCATCCAAGATGTAGGTGTCTTTGTTTCCGCAGTAGTTTCAATTTTAATATTTTTAGGTCAAACCGTTCTTGTCTGTCAGTCATATAATGCAGGTCTATGGTCACCACCTCAAAGAGCATGCACAGAGAAGTCCAAATTAAACATGATTTAATGACTCGTAAATGTAAGTACACATTGATGGCCTAAGACACGAAACGAGCGGTTTGTGTGAGAAAACGAACAGTATTTATATCGTTTTTACCTGTTGTAACCACAGCCCCGTCCAAGTGATCTGAGGGCGCGGGCGCTTCGGTCTGTGCGTTACAAGAGGTAAAAACGATATAAATACTGTTCGTTTTCTCACACAAACCGCTCGTTTCGTGTCTTAGGCCATCAATGTGTACTTACATTTACGAGTAAGGTTTAGCCCTTGAGGTAAGCTAAAACATATCAAAAATTAATTTCAAAGTGAACTATCCCTTTAAGTGTTTTATTAACAAAGTTCAGGAGGAGCACGTTCAGATAATATAGCCAATCAGCATGAGAGGAGGCCTCTATATATATAGTCGACTTACATCTATCCTACGACAGTTTTTCAGCATCACTCCACCACCCCAACTCTTTCCTCTCGATTGTTCCTATCCCACTCAGGGATATGGCTGGAGTAGCCTACTCTGGGTTCGGGCCAAATTCCGAGCTAGGAGCCCTTTCTCTCGGACAGCATGCCAAATATGCATGTTGATTCTTAGTATAATTGTGTAACCCTAATTGTTCACATATGCGAAAAAAAGAAAAAAAAGAAACTGCAGAATTGAATGCATGCACTACTGTTCAAAAGTCTGGGTCAGATTTTTTCAGGTTTTTGAAACTCTCTTTATTATTTATCAGAAATAGCTACAGTTTAAAAACTGTAATCTTGTGTAAGTATTATCACAATTTAAACATTTTTAACTTCTTTTTTAATATATTTTAAAATGTATTTATTCCTGTGATGTCAAAGCTGAATATTCAGCATCATTACTCCAGTCTTCAGGGTCACATGATCCTTCAGAAATCATTCTAATATGCTGATTTGCTGCTCAAAAAAACATTTCTGATTATTAACAATGTTAAAAAATGTTTTTGTTGTTTGTTGAATAGAAAGATCAAACGAACAGCATTTAGCTTATTTGAAATATAAATCTTTTATAAGATTTTAAATGTCTTTACTGTCACTTTTGATCAATTTAATGCATCCTTACTGAATAAAAGTATTAGTTTCCCTATGATCACTGAACTAATACAGCACATGCCAACTGATTTTAAATATATGGCATATGATTTTTGTTCTGGAAGACAACAAATGGATTATATTTTGCATGAGATTGTTTTGTGGTGAATGGAATGTACTATGTGTGGTATTGATTTGCAGATGAAATGCTTTTTTCCCTGCAGAGCTAAATAAATTAGATTAATATAAAATTAGGTTAATATACTTTCATTGAAATTAAGAATAAAACAAAGCAAAACAAACAAAAACCCAGAAGCAATTTTATCATGACTGGCATTATAAATAACTATTGTGTATATGTCAAAACAATGGAGGATCTTAGTCTCATATCTTCTTTATTCAAGCATAACATACAAAGTACTTATATGATATACACTACCGTTCAAAAGTATGGGTTAAGTACGATTTTTTAAACAAATTAATACATTTATTCAGAAAGGATGCATTAAATTATTCAAAAGTGACAGTAAAGACATGAATAATATTATAAAAGATTTCTATTTTAATTATTTTCTATTGATCACAAATGCCCAACTTTTTTCAACATTGAAAGCGTATTAGAATGATTTCTGAAGGATCGTGTGACACTGAAAACTGGAGTAATGATGCTGAAAATTCAGCTTTGCCGTCTCCAAAAATAAATTATATTTTAATATTCATACAGAAAAGTAATTTTAAATGTAATAGTATTTTACAATACTACTGTTTTTACTGTATTTTGATAGAATAAAGGCAGCCTTGGTGAGCATAAGAGACTTCTTTTCAAAAACATTTTAACATTTTTAAAAATATTACCGACCCTATATTTTTGAATGGCAGTGTACTACATAAATTAGTTTTATTGCTCTGATGTAGTTACTGTGTTGCGATGCACATAGTCATTTTTAATTTAGGTTGAGCAAGGCAGGTGCATTGAAATAACATTACTACATTGATGGCTTCAATATCTTGCATTAGAGTAAATTAATGTGTTAATAAGTTCATTTTGCTAGCAATTAAAAGTAAACACACTCCAGTGGAGAGTCGTGGTGCATCAAACTCAGCCTGCAAGCGTGTGTGCTTGTGTTATACATAATTAACAAATTATACATAATTATTGCAAGTTATTGACAGCAAACATTATTATTTAAAGCTTTCATGAATCATGAGTCATAGCATAAATGCCTTTGTGACGAATTCACCTGATTAAGTGGAGGATCAAATTGCGGAGATGCTTGATCCATATCCGACCTGTTCCGGCACAGATTTTGCGCCCTTCGGGTGTATGACATTCTTCCTGTTATAATATGAAAACAAATATAAATTGATACCCTTTTACAGATAATTATGAGTACACAAAAGTTTTTGTTTACTTAACCCTGAAGGTTCTATTAAATAGAGCAGATTCTTTTCACTAATGCTTGTAATTCTGCCTTGATTCTGAAAGCTTTTGGCGTTGTTGGGTTACTGGAGCAATTTGTCGCTGTATTCATTTTAGGTGCATGTGTTCGCGCTCACAATGTGTAAATAATCTCCTCTAGTCATCTCGCATTTGCTCTTGAGTGATATAACTGTTCTATCATTGTCACGTCTGCTTCAGTTCATTAATTAGCCAGAGACAGAGGTTGACTAAAAGAGAGAGTGAGAGAATCCTGACAGAGAGACATTACTCAAGTAGGCGGTATAATAAAAGTCTCTCAGCCTGAAAGATGTGTTTCCCTCTCACTTGAGCGTGTGAATAAACTGCCTCATTTCATCTGTCACATTCCAGCAGCGTTATACGTTTGTGTGTGTAATACGTTGCGTGTTGTTTCTGCAGGCTTCAGGGGAGATCCACGCAGTGCCTAGGACCAATGACCAATAGAAACGGAGGCCGTTAACCTTTCTGCTACCAAAACAGAAGTGAACTCAACTTTAGACAACACAGAAGATGCTCGCATATCTCTAATGCCACTTTCCATTTCCATCTGGCTGGATCACAGTGAGACGCAACTCTAGAAGTGGCCTTTTTGGGGGGTAAATTCAGCAGGTTCCCATTTAATAAGGAGAAAGCAATATGAAGAGAACTGAACTGTTGGACATGAGCTGAGATTCGATGAAACTACTGCCCTCTGCTATCTGGCAGATATTAATCAAGCTGTTTTATGGTGTCCATAATGTATTTACAGTTTAGCTGTTGTTGTGCCAGATGTGAGAACTGTGTGAAAACTAAATCTTTCTTGCTCTTTGATCATATAAATATTTAGACTGATTTTTTGTCTTCTTCATATATTGCCTAAATGATATGATGAATTCATCATTCTGAAGTACTTCCATATACAGTGCTTTAGAAAAGTCACACTTAAAAATGTGTGAAGGTCACTGCATTAGATGACAAAATATCAAACCGTGCACACTTCATGCAAAACATTTAACAAAAAAAGATGTTTAGTAGGTTTTAAATGATAAATACTTGATGAATTGTTCAAAAAGACAAAGGGCCAGATTTACTAACAGCTCTTTTGGCATTAAAAATTAAATATGCATTTGTAGGAGTTTCCTTTTCAGACGCAAAATTTATAGGAGAGGATTTAAATGAATCATGCAAGGTGGTTTACTAAGGTTTGCGCTAGTCAATTTACAGTTTTTTTGCAACATTTACCACACAAAAAAAAGCATGTCTTAATCCAGATTCTAATTTGCCCTGCTCTTGACAAAGTCTTAGACACTTTCTGGTAATCAAAGTTAGCATGTCACCATGGTCACCGTGATTTTGCCAAGTAAGACATGTTCATATTTTTTTGATCCTGGAACAACATTTCTGTCCAAAAAAATTAGTCCTATCCCTAACCCTACCCATAAGTTATCCATAAAATTAGAGGGAAATGACAAGTGAATGACACTGATGTAGAATCATCTAACCCTAAGCCTAAACTTGACATACAGTAATCTGTAAACTTGTCCCTTAAATATGATTGGTTGATAGGAATGTTGTTCCAGGATCAACGAAGACTTTGATCCAGGAACATGTTGTACTTGGTGGAATCATAACGCCTAACACCTGTGGTTACTCTGCCAGGACACCCGTGTGAACTTTAGGAGAACTGATTTCATACATCCACAAAAAATGACCAAAACAACAGTTGATTAAAAGACACTGACCAAAAATGGTTCAGAAAAGTGAAGATAATTCTACATTTGAGTGCAGACGACTCTAGGTTTGTGTATTATTATCTAATGCAATGACATTCAGTCTTTTTAAGTGTGATTTAAGTCTCCAAATACTTTTTGGGACTTAACCTAAAACACTCCTTTCTGTCTGGGAAATAAGAAAATAAATAAATTTCACACAGGCTCTGCCTCAAAGATGAAGTAGATGAAAACAAGTTATGTTTGAACTTGAAACATAAAATATGAATAATATATTTTTATTAATCTAAAAACCTGAAGGTATAATGATCCAGGTCCTGTAGGGCGTTGGGGCAGCAAATCCTTACAACAAAGCTGAACTTTAAAAGTCACAAAAGCCTCTTCCATTACAGACAGCAAACCAAACAATCTTTACACATCCCTCTTAAACAATATTTGAAATACTAGAGTGCAACAGAGTAGTGTTTGGCCACTGAAGAGTCACTGAGTTAGTCTGCTAGTTTCAGACCTACAGCGGTCCCATATGGTTGGGATTTGGCCAGAACAACCCGCAGAGCCTGAGAAGCTGCATGATCTCTCTGGATTTTACATGAAAGCACATATTTTTGTACGACATTACTATTTCACATCACTTTATGCAGCATCATGTTGTAAATTAATTTTAAACTAAACTGAACTTCCTAGTTGTACTTGATAAGGTAAAAAAAAAAAAAACCTAGCAACCACCCAGAGCATGCTAGCACCCACATACCATAGCAAACACCTAACACCCAAAACGCCCTGGCAATCACATACCAAAAAACCACCCTAAAGGCCCTGCAAAATCAAAAAGCAAACTGGTATGATATCATTTTGAAAAAAATCAGGCCAAAACTCCGCCTTCTTTGACGTGGAAATCTTCTCCAGTTCATTTCTTTTGTTCAGTTCGTCGAGGTCGGATGTCTGCGAGTAAAAACAAGGACACACTTGAGAGCTGCTTTATAGTAGAAAATGAAGCTGGAATTCACTGACATTTTTTATGTTTACTACTGTAAAGCTGCTGCTTTAAAGCAATTCACTGTATTGCCATATAAATAAACGTGATATGACTTTAGTGGAGTGCCGAATTGCAGAGTTCGCACAAATATCCATATGGCTTTGATCAGATGCTTTCTTAACTACGGTTTTCTCACCGCTGTAATTTTTGTTGTGCGTTTACTTGGATATTGAGAGGAAAGCGCGAAACACATATTCACATATTCATCTTAACGCCTCTCAGCAGCTTCAGGATGTCCGCTAACAGTATAGAGCAACAGTGCCCGCCCCCTTTTTCAGATCTCCGTTTTTTTTTCCATTCATTTTTCCCATAGGGATTTTTAAAAAGGCTTTGTTAAAGAGTTATAAGCCATGAATAAATCCAATCAGCTATGAGGTGCATAACAACATTATAAACTTTGATTTGAAGCAAAAAAAGTTTTTGAAAATCTGACAAAATGACAAAGGTGTGAGTACTTAGGTGACTGAGTACTTAACGGCTTTAGTGATGGAAAAAAGATGGAGAAATATAAACCTTCTCATCTAAAAATATTGATAAAAACGATACATATTTTAAGTTTATTGCAAAATATGCATATATACCATTTAAGTATTTTGAGAGCTTAGAGAGACTGACTCGATTACTCGATCACAAAGTGATGTGCGGGTTGATCCAAAATGAGCGGGTGCCTGCGGATACCCGTGGTATCCCGTGGTATCCCGCAGTTACGAGTCATCCAAAAATATTTTTAATGATATTCGGGTCGTGGTCGGTCGGGTCGTTTGAAATAAAGATGCCAATTAAACCTTTGTAATTTATATAGTACTAGACACAATTTTCTATGAAATACTGCACTTTATTGGCTGAATAACTGACTTTATTAACATATTCTATGCCTGCATTTTGTGCTTGTGAGAGCTTCAATTGGGCATTCACGTGACGAAATAGCCTAAGCCTACTAATACAAGTAGGAAATCCTTATTTACCTTTTGAATGTTGAGCATTATTAACTTTTGAATAAATGCTGACGCGGGACAAAATGCACGATTTCCCAACACGTTGAACTGAGCAATGCCATTGTATCATTTTAATAGGCTACTTTTAAACGCATATAGCTCAGTAATGTCAGTTTTATGTATTTTCTGAGAGGGGGCAGGATTTTTGTTGGGAAAGTCGGGGATAGAGGCACACTTCGATTAGACTGGATAAACACATGCAGCAAATGAAACGAAATAAATGAATAAATAAATCAAGCCTTCATTACATAACACTAGGCTATATCATACAGCATTCAGAAAAAGAACAGTTTGCGCTCATAAGGGCTTTCACACTTTTCCAAAAGTGGGCCTTCTCTCAGTTGTCCTGCTGATGAATTTTTCAAGCAGGGTCGAAACATAAACACCGCATTCATCAATAATATCTAGACAGCATCTAGACAGCTGAAATGGAAAATGATGGGCCGCCTCAAGAACAGCCTGCTCTCGCCGCTGCACCTCTGAGTGCACCACGTCAGGGCCTGAAACATTTCTCTCCTCCACAGGCTGGATTAATGGATATTATAGGCCAGGGAGGCTGATGGGGGGTGTATGGGAGGGGGAGCGGGCGGGTTAGTTGAAAACGTCGGTCGGGTGCGGGTTGTTTATACATTGACCTGCGCATCACTGGTGACCACCCAGAAACTAGCAACCACTTAGCATTAGCAATACCCTATAGTAAAAATAGCTTTAGGGAAGCAGAAAGTATTTCTGTGCATCTATTAAACCTTTTCTTAATGTACAGAAATAGGTATCCTCTAACATTAAAGGACATGATGATCTTGATGAGTGTACAGAGGCCTCAGCCTGTGTATGTGTGATAATAAGATACTCATTCACTGCTGGAACGAAACAGCTGAGCCACTGCACATCTCACCGGGGGAGCCAGCTGAGGCATGTTATGTGTGTGCTTGTTCACACAAGCATACGTGTCCTCCTAAAGCTCTCCTGCAAAGGCTGGGGTCTTCCCCCTCTCTCTCTGCCCCGCTCTGCCATGCACAATCCCAGAAGTGTGTCATTCTAGCTCTGCAGTAACTCCCTCTGACAGGCTATTAAACCAGTGGAGATTGGACTGTACGATAACCACTTTAAGTGTAAAAGCTTGGAGATGTTAAACCCCCTCAACTTTATAAAAAAGTTGTGTGCTTATGCTTATCACATTTGGTCTAAAGAGCAATCTGATCTGTTATCAGATTTCATGCCACTTTGTTATCTTTATGCTATGGTTCATAAGTGTAGCAGCATACAGTGGTGGTTCATCTCCCTTCAATGTTAGTGAGTCCCTTCACATTTCACCACATAATTAAAGACATTTTCCACCCAATTTCTCATGTTTATTTTTTTTTGTATGTATTCACAAAAGATTCACACAATGATTTTATCATCATAAATTTAAGGCAGTGCAACAAATTCTCTTGAATTTTAAATGCAATTTAATGATGAATTTTTTAATACATAAATTCTTCTTTTTTTTGCATTGCATTGCATTGCAGTAATGAGAATTTGGGTGAAAAATGTGCCTAATCATAATCCCAAAAAAATGTCATAATGCAACCACAAAAAAAACTTAATTTTCTTTATTGTCCTATTAATTCTATTGATTTTTGGGTGAAATATGACCCGGTTTGAAATTATTCACTCTACCAAACTTGGTCTGGAGATTGGACTTTCAGTTGCAAGTTAATATTAACTTTAAGGGCAGTTCCTTATTATGGCTCTACATAAAAAAAAATTAAAAAAAATTGTTAACATGGAATTGGATTTTCCATGGTGTCACAGACAGTGGTATTTATGGCTGTGGGTTGAACAGGAAATGGAGTGTGAAATTAAAGGGAGACTCTGGGAGCACATTAGAGGTCTGCCCTTGATGATACTGTACACTTAGAGAACAGAGCAAAGACTTTATAATCCATGAGGTCCGAAGTTAAAAGAAGAAAAAAACTTGACTTGAAATAAAGGTTTGTGGTTAAGGTCATGGGTCGCTCGTGATGACATTATGGACCCTTCACTGCTGCACGACTTCCATAATGCTCATCCCAACCGTCCAGCCCAGAGAGGCAGAGGCCGTCCCCG